GATAGCGGCAAAAAGCGCAAACGAGATTCGCTTGCTGGGATACCTGTGGGCCCCTCTGGGCTTGATGCGCAAACGAGAAAACCTTTCTACCTGACAGAGGCTTAGTGTGCGCATAAGAGATCCGCCCGGTGCTTTTTCGTGTGTTAAAATAGACACCTAGGAGGGCATTTTAAAACAATGTCCAGAATTTTTTATTTTTCAATCATTGGGTTGTCTGAAAACAATAGTGGACACCTACAAGATTCGTCTTGTAGTAGACTACTGTATACAGTTCATTGCAGAGTCGACTCAATGACTGGCGCATAAGTAACCCACATGCGTTCTCAAAAGTGCATAGGGTAATCCCACAGTGCCTATTACCGATTTGGTGTCATGGTGTATTACTGTTATGCACAGTGACATGTTTTAAATATTGTAATTACTATGAACAAAATACGTATTTTCACTGTTATTGTGTATTATGGGCTATGACATTCCACCATAAACATGTTAAAATTAGGTACTCGCTCTAAGATATAGCACGATCACATGTTATGAGAAAACAAAATCAGCTGTTTATGACTTGACATGCTATGTTATGGAGATAATTTTGGGCAATACCTAAATGTTATTCTAAAATTATGGAAATTCCACTATTTTCCCTTTCGTCACGGAATGAAGACTTTGAAGACATCTAATTTTAACCTTCTCCCATCTTTCTAAGGCCAATATTGGCGCAAAGAATCACCTTACGATATAAAATACCCCCGCCGCTGCAAACCTGCCGACTTTTTATCAATCCATGAGTGTGAATTGATTTTCAACTAAACCTATTTAAATAACATTAGGTTTAATGAGTACCTAGGTTTGCTGCTACAAGGAAACTAATAAAGTGTATTTTTTAGTAAAATATTAATGACTTAGTATAAAATAAATAAATTTGCCAAGTTTGATAAAAATATATCAATAAATAAGCAAACTACAAAATTTTACATTATTCTCCATAAGAATAGCATGGGAATTTTAAAGGTCTAGAGAGAAATTAGGATATTTTGTGTTTTGAGGGTCAATAATGAGAAAACCCAATTTTTACCCCATAAGACCCCCCGTAAAACCCCGTTCCTATGCTGGTTCATTCAACCCGATCATGCTGGTTCGCGACTCGCGAACTCATTCGAGTCTATCCCGCCTTACGCCTTCAAACCAAATTTCATCAAAATCGGACAAAATTATCGTGTTCACGGACATATATAGATACATATATAACAGTTTGAACGATTGGTGTTTTTGGCCTCTTGGGACATCAAAATAAAAAAGTAAATCAGTCCCGGGCCTAGGACTTAGCGTGCCACCTACGGTAATAGCTACTGTACTTCCCTATAGGGGAGTTTGCTCATACAGGGTGTCAGAAAAGTAACTTGCACCTGCCTTTACTTTATAACCATTGGAGATATTTTACATCGGTTTGCGGCAACCTTCTTCGATATGATGGGCTACAATAATGATGAGCAAGTTTGAAAAAAAAGGAAAATATTGCCCTTAGCGGTAGTGGGATTAAGGGGTAGCTCAAAGTTTTCAAATGGGAAGTATAGTTCACTTTGGTATTATTTTATAGGTCTTAACGAAACAAAACAGTTGGCATAAAGAAAACAAACATCCAACAATGGGGTGATGCAATACACATTTTAGCCACCCTCATCCATAGTTAATTAATACACAATAACAACAAACAATATTTAGCGTACAGACATCAGTAAATGCAACTCCATTCACTCGACTACTTGTTACTTAGAATTAAATGTTCCTGTAGCTGTCTTATAGCTTAGTTGTAAATAATATTTTGATTAATTTAGTTTTAATTTTTAAATTAATTTTAAATTTGTAATAGAACTCGTCCCGCGCACAGGTCTTGCACGGCCTATGCGGGACTATTTTTTCGTATCTTGGATCTATCTATTTTAAACAAACAATAATTTATTAAATAAAACAGATTTTGATTTGATTGATTTGATTTGATTTAATTGGATTTGAAGTGTCAATTGTTTTTTCATCAAGACCTGTAAAATGATACCAAAGTCGACAATACATCATATTTGAAAATGTAGAGCTACCCCCACACCCCCTAAGGGCAAAAAAATATAACAATCATTACTGTAAGTAGCCCCTCATATCTGAAAACATTTCCGCATACCGATTTCAAATATCTCAAATAGTTAAAAAGTAAAGGGGGGTGCACGTTACCTTTCAGCCACCCTGTATAGATAGAAAATAGATAGAAATAAATATGTTGGGAAATGCATGTACACCATATATAAATATACAGTGAAACCATTGTGAAACATAACGATAAAGATACAGTAACGACTAGCTGTGTGCCCGTTCTACGCACGGGGATCTTATCATAGTCAGTTAAAACCTTCTTATATAAAGCACAGCAGTTGGTTTGCATACTTTCGGATATGCTGACAAAACTATTTCTTCGCAAATACAGTATCTGACAGTTTCAAGCCAAAACTAATGCTTCGCAATTAAATGTCACCCGGATCTTGTTGGTCCATATGTTATATCCAATGATTAAACTAAATAAACGGTATCAGCATTCTGACACATACTTTCTCCCATAAGTTTGTCAACAACCTTTATCATGTGTAAGCGGTGAGAGTAAATATACGGAAATGGGATTTGTACAATTTTGTTCAGAATTTAAAGGACTATAACATAATGGTTAAAAGTATTTAAGGTACTACCTCAACCTCTTAATTTAACACTTTATTCGGGTTGACATTTTCATTATCAAGGCGCTCTTGTCCTTTCCGTGAAACATTGAGAAACAAGGACATTAATGCGTTACCATCATACATACACACAAAAATACCGAACTTAATTAGGGAATCTGCTACGCTTTAAGCATAAAAAGGTACATATAAAATTAGTACTTGAAATCGTTGTTAATGCCATAAAATTTGATCATAACAATTTATATTTGCTTGGACCGGAGATGACTCGAAATTCTGTCGAAATGCTATCTGAATCGGTTTGCTATATGAAATGAAGTAGGCCTACTATAGACGATTTAGATTGGTAATTTGTAATAAAAATTACCAAAATAGGCCACGAACTATTGATACATAAACAACGTTCAAAGTGTTTGAACAATTCATGATGGTTTGCTGAATAAATGTTTTACTAAAATGCGTTATAGTTTTCTTAGCATAACATTTTGGAATCCAGACAGAAAAAGCAAAAATTATACAGTTAAGACATCAATTAAATTGAATAGGCCTACGCCTGTAATAAATAAGGTGCAACACCAACGATAACTAATTTGTAAATTACTGTGATGTGTTGGTACGTAAAAATGATTCTTGCTGCTACTAAAGGTTAAAAGGAAAATAACCAGTACCGTACCAAAAACCAACGTTTACAGTTAAGAACTGTAGTACAGCCGACCAATTATATGCGTTAATCAAGGTTATTGATCTCTTGGTTTTGGATTTTCTCGTAAAAAGTTATCGGCAATCAAAGTTATTTCCCATTAATTGCTTTATTTGTACACAACTCTTAATGTAAACTTATCGGTGTCAGTTTGAAAAAAAAAACCTTATACAACATAACTTTCTGTTATTTAATAGATTACGTATTCTCTAAACAATGGTTGCTGGTATATATATTAACATTATAAGGAAATGTGACAAAAATCACACAACGTTGGGTTTTTGGACGTTTATAATTTTATTTCTTAAGTACCTAGGTAGGCCGTGTATTCTATGGAAAAGTACCGGTATCAAGGATCGTTGTCGAAAGGGTTGTTATAAATAATTGGGTGAGCATACGTACCACACGTACCCAAGAGAAGGGCTATGGGCCTATTGGCTGTATGGTCCAGCGATTGCATCACACGGTGAGTAGGAACTATTGACTTTATATAGTCAATGGTAGGAACAGAAAGTGACACATTGGAAAATCGAGTTCAGCATCATCCGTAAACCTCTGTTACAATCACCCACTGCAGTTGTAATTTTTTGCTTTACACTTTACACAGCCGCATTTGAAGAGCCGTCAATGAGTGGAACATTGTTTCTAAGCTATTTGCGACGGTCATTAGTAAATTTAAGTTTCCCAGCCGTATACAACACTGATTCAATCTTGATTCAATGTCTCCTTTCTGGTTATCAAAACTCCAAAACAATTTTATACACATATTTCTGGTTCCTGACCTGGATGATGCCTAGTTATTTAATTTACGGTTACACTATATAATTCCACTTTTGATTAATTAAATCCTTTATGTAATAAACACGTTTTTAATCTCACTTGGATGGGATTTGCCTTCAAAACGTGATCGGAAATGGTTGTGGTGTTTGTAAACAACATTTGTAAACATTTCAGTGACAGCTAGAAAAAATAATCTTGATCCGAACAGCTGTTCGTTGTTTCATAGATGATTATGTGATACAAATTGGAAGAAAACTTGACAAAAATCGCACAAAACTGCATTTTTGAACGGCCGTAATTTTAATTACAAAGTAGTGAGACCATATTTTAATGGCTAAAGACACTCTCGCCAATCCAGTGAATACATTAAAATGACTTGGGTCTTGATAGGTACTCTCGTTTTCCTGGAGAAGATTGCGTAAAATGCCATCTTGAGTGTGACAGACAGACAGACAGACAGAAATTTAGATGAGACTTGTTTCGGCTTTTTTAATGTATAAAACGTAAAAATAACCTAAAAATGTGTGATTCTGAGCAATGTACAGACAAAACTCTAATTTTATTTATATAGATAAATATTCGGGCAAAATCAGCTGGTATGATTAAAATGTACAGCATATATCCTCGATCCGAATAAGAAAAAATGCATTAGTCCAAATAACTAACGCATGTATTAAAAAAACTGCTTTTCTAAATCCTGACGAATAAAATGCATTTACACCATGCAATTGATACGGTGAAAGAGATGTATTTGTTAGCAAATATGAACCATGAAAGAAAGTTAAAACTCTAAAATCAGAACTCACCATATAACCCTGACAAGGAGCTCGAAGAGGCAGGGGAAGACCATGTCGTCAGTGGCTGCCAGCCACTTGCGGCCGAACAGCTTGAGGGCCGGCATCCCGCCGCTAGCTCCTCCACCTACAACATTCATCAGCTGTCAGGGGTGTGATGACAACAAGAGGCAGGGGAAGACCTGAAGACCATGTCGTCAGTGGCTGCCAGCCACTTGCGGCCGAACAGCTTGAGGGCCGGCATCCCGCCGCTAGCTCCCCCACCTACAACATACATCAGCTGTCAGGGGTGTGATGACAACAAGAGGCAGGGGAAGACCTGAAGACCATGTCGTCAGTGGCTGCCAGCCACTTGCGGCCGAACAGCTTGAGGGCCGGCATCTCGCCGCTAGCTCCTCCACCTACAACATACATCAGCTGTCAGGGGTGTGATGACAACAAGAGGCAGGGGAAGACCTGAAGACCATGTCGTCAGTGGCTGCCAGCCACTTGCGGCCGAACAGCTTGAGGGCTGGCATCTCGCCGCTAGCTCCTCCACCTACAACATACATCAGCTGTCAGGGGTGTGATGACAACAAGAGGCAGGGGAAGACCTGAAGACCATGTCGTCAGTGGCTGCCAGCCACTTGCGGCCGAACAGCTTGAGGGCCGGCATCCCGCCGCTAGCTCCTCCACCTACAACATACATCAGCTGTCAGGGGTGTGATGACAACAAGAGGCAGGGGAAGACCTGAAGACCATGTCGTCAGTGGCTGCCAGCCACTTGCGGCCGAGCAGCTTGAGGGCCGGCATCCCGCCGCTAGCTCCTCCACCTACAACATACATCAGCTGTCAGGGGTGTGATGACAACAAGAGGCAGGGGAAGACCTGAAGACCATGTCGTCAGTGGCTGCCAGCCACTTGCGGCCGAGCAGCTTGAGGGCCGGCATCCCGCCGCTAGCTCCTCCACCTACAACATACATCAGCTGTCAGGGGTGTGATGACAACAAGAGGCAGGGGAAGACCTGAAGACCATGTCGTCAGTGGCTGCCAGCCACTTGCGGCCGAGCAGCTTGAGGGCCGGCATCCCGCCGCTAGCTCCTCCACCTACAACATACATCAGCTGTCAGGGGTGTGATGACAACAAGAGGCAGGGGAAGACCTGAAGACCATGTCGTCAGTGGCTGCCAGCCACTTGCGGCCGAACAGCTTGAGGGCCGGCATCCCGCCGCTAGCTCCTCCATCTACAACATACATCAGCTGTCAAGGGTGTGATGACAACAAGAGGCAGGGGAAGACCTGAAGACCATGTCGTCAGTGGCTGCCAGCCACTTGCGGCCGAACAGCTTGAGGGCCGGCATCCCGCCGCTAGCTCCTCCATCTACAACATACATCAGCTGTACACAGCTACACACACACACATACAGTAGCTTGGCGAATGTGGCGGTAGGGCTCAACAATGGTTGAACACATGTTCTTTCTCGATTCAATTTTAATTCGAGTTCACGTAAACGATATTGACATTTTAAGATGGGTTTTTTGGGGTAGGGCGGAGTGATTTGGTTTTACGCTGAAATCTTGGTGGTAACCATATCTCAGCTTGTCAGTGCAGCTAATGTCACTTGAAGGCCATTGCGGCGACTCCTGCTGTTCCTGACTCAAGCTTGTTGACCACCAAAACCAAGAATTGATAGCCAACCGGTTTCAGGCTTTGTTATATATTTATCTGTCAGCCTTGTGTACCAGGGATAATACAGCCAAGTAATTTTATTTGTATCCTGTAACTTCGGAGCCGGGGTAAGATACTAACTTGTCAATGCGTAGAGCGAGGAAATATATTTCCACGATAGAAAGTCCAAAGGCAGTGAAATAAAATTACTGATTGATTCGAACTCACTCAACTCATTTAACTCAGACGGTAAAATCGACTTTGAATAGTTCTAATGTAAAATGTGAACTGTGAGGAACTAAACTTGGTCGGTGCTTCCAATTGTAAATTGAAATTCAAGTTGTATCACATATAATGGCGCTTAACTGGAATATGATTTACTTTGATCTGCTTTGATTCTACATTAGTTCTACTTGAGCAGTAAAAATATCGATTACATGGAAAGAAATGCTTTTTTCCTACAGTCACCCGACAAAGTGGGCTTCCTTGTACTGTTTATAGTACAGAAAGCTGCTAATTGCTGCATATTTATACTTTGTCGTACGGTTTATACTTTGGCGCACATCAGGATTCCAACGAAACAACACAAAACAGCGTGGTTCTATTATGCACGTAATCCGCGTACGCTTGGAAATAGGTTGGCAACACTTAAAGATAATAATACTATGAGCAGTTGATTGACTATTATAACTACGATTTAACCTGTCATTTCGTGTTTATAGTTTCGGTATTTCTGAACTTTCTGGACTTTTCTTTTAAACGTTTTTAAAACATTCCTACGATCTTAATAAACAAGAAAATACCTTTAAAGCATTTTTTTAGGCACGAAAACCACTTCAAATTACAAAAACATCGGAAATATATTCTCAAGTCGCGGAGCATATTTCTTGCCGAGGAAAAATAGCGGAGTGATACGGACTGGGTACTACTTTCTCTAGGGCACCTATTTGTGTTGCCAGCTGAACCTAAAAACGTGTTGTATAGTGTTTGAAAGACTAATTATTTATGTGCTTTATAGTGACTGTAGGAAAAATATAATGTGTAACACGAGTGCAAAAGGCCTTTGCTGCACTCGAGATCATTCCAAACATTGCTCTCGTGTGCAGCAAAGTGCCACTTTGCCCACTAGTTACGCAAATAACTATTTCCATTAACTTCATCCAGCAAACTCACCAAATAACGTAATGCATTTACCTCGTCTATAACAAGAGAAATCTCCATAAAAATACATACGGGTACTAAATAATAAAAATAAGTAAATAAATAATAATGGTAATATATCTCCAATCACAATGTTTGAAAGGTTTGCAAATCATGAGGAATATCCCAATGATTATGCAGTTTCTGTTTCTGATACTACTGCCAGTAAACTATTCTGCTTTCAGTTATCGTCTACGTAACCGTGTTATTTACTGGTGTTACCAATAACCTTCCAAGATCCAACTAAGGGATCGTCAGTAAACCAGTAAACATCGTGACATGGATTTGCCTTTGATAGCCTGCACTAGAGGCTGCATCATTATCTGTTCTCGCTCGTCAGAGAGGATGTCCTCTACGCAGTCATTAGGTTGACGATGGCAGTGATCCTGTGTCTTGCCATGACAGATACAAATAACCAATTACCATGACGTTATGAGATGTTTTGCTAACATTGACTACGCCTCCCATTCACCAGGTGTGAAATTTATATAAACCAAAATTGACCGATAAATCTAGTGTATTTTACGACCAATGACGCGATGTTCCTCCTGACGCGAATTCAGTACTGTGCTCAAGATGAGTTTCCATGTTCACATCGCATCTCACTTTGACACTCTATTTAACACATTAGCGATAATAAGTTAACATTAATGCATGTCGATTTACCCAAATAACCATACTTATGTACGAGTATTTAGTTAATGATTTCATTGAAAACACTAGACACTAGTAGAAAGAAGTTTGATGGATGACAAATCATGATACTGTACGAGGACTGAGAGAAAGTAGAGCGATCTTCTTGACCGTCTCAAGATTTATAGCCACCTGTAGAGCAATCATGTAACGCTGTTACAAAAACATCTTAAATCGTATTATACAAGTGTATCAGCTGATCAATGTAAGGATTTGGTGATAGCGTGAATACTAGAAAAGGATTTCTAGGATTCGTGGGTGATAGTAAAGAAATATTGGGGATGCGAAATACTACCCCCCGGAAAACCATCCCCAGATGAAAATTTACGTCACGAAATCTGCATATGGGAGACGTGTAGTCCGTGACTGGAATACTACCAACCCTTTAGCAAAATAAGATTATATGTAGGGTACAGTATTAAAGTTAATATAATTGTAATTAGAATTCGAGTAATTACGTATATGTGGGGAGTATCAAACGGAATTTTAAAATGTTACAGCAAGTTTGGTTAGTTAGGTTAGGTTAGTTTAGAACAGTTTGACAACAAAGAGTGTCCGTGACTGGAAATTTCACCCCCCCCCCCTCGGTCTCTGAAGTCAACATGACGTGGAAAAATGTTTGGGGGGAGGGTAGTTGTCCGGGGGGCAGTCTTTCGGCGACTCGAAATATTTATTCTCTTACATTTTGGGGAATGTTCTGACTCCTTAGTCAACATATTACATATAAAAATGGTCTTATAAACAATAGCACTTAGAGAATCGTTTGGATGTAGATTAAAGCTTGTCTTAAATTTGGATTGATCACAGAGAGATGGAGTATATAGTAGTTTGTTTTCGATTTGGATTTGCGCTAATGTGTCCGACGCACCTTGTGTAAGATGCTAATCTGATGATCTTACTACAGAAATTAACCTGCGCAGTACGGAATAAGAGCTCGATTTGGCTACTTCCTGCAACCAACCGTGAAATGAAATTTAACATCATACAAGACAGTTAAAAACAGCAACAAAATAACGCAATGTTTCTAAAAATGCATATTAGTATAACCCTCCCTTCATGACAGCACGATGATTATTAGTGTTTCAGTCATGTTGGAATTACCTGACTATCGTCACGACCATACTCGGTCCTGACCCTGCATCATTAGTGGAACTGTCGACGTCACAATCCTACTGCTCTGGTGACCTTGAGTTGATGATTCGGACTCAATAAATATTTGGAAAGTATCGGCTTTCTGGCACCTGAACAGTCGATTATAACGTTGAATCCTGAGGTGTTAATGGTCCTTGGGGGCTTTCAGAATAATACGTGGTCGCCATTGACGAGAGACAATCACATCATTGGGCAGTGCTTAGACTTGAAGCATTCGTTGTTCTTGGTTCCTCCTTTCCTCTTTTGGAACTTGATCATGATCTTAAATTGGAAATAAAGTCCGACAGATCTTTCCGAGCTGGTTCTGTTAGCAGCACCAGGACGGATAGACCCTTGGAGCTGAGTATGTTTTCTGTGTTCTGTTAGCAGCACCAGGACGGATAGACCCTTGGAGCTGGTTCTGTTAGCAGCACCCGGACGGATAGACCCTTGGA